GGTGTCCCCGTGCCCCGGGTGACACTACGTCCCCGGTGTCCCCGTGCCCGGTGTCCCCGTGCCCCGGGTGACACTACGTCCCCGGTGTCCCCGTGCCCCCGGTGACGCGGTGCCGGTGCCGCGCAGCGTGGACCGGAAGGGGCAGTACCACTACCTGGTGAAGTGGCGGGACCTGCCCTACGACCAGGCCACCTGGGAGGAGGACGAGATGCCCATCCCCGACTACGACCTGCACAAGCTGGCCTACTGGAAGCACCGGTGAGGGACACTGGGGACACTGGGGACACTGGGAGGGACACTGGGGACACTGGGAGGGACACTGGGGACACTGGGAGGGACGCTGGGGACACTGGGAGGGACGCTGGGGACACGGGGATGGACACTGGGGACACTGGGAGGGACACTGGGGACACTGGGAGGGACGCTGGGGACACTGGGAGGGACGCTGGGATGGACACTGGGGTTACTGGGGTTTCAGGGATGTGCCTACTGGAAGCACCGGTGAGGGACGCTGGGGACACTGGGGACACTGGGAGGGACACTGGGATGGACAGTGGGGACACTGGGGTTACTGGGGTTACAGGAATGTGCCTACTGGAAGCACTGGTGAGGGACGCTGGGGACACTGGGACACTGGGAGGGACGCTGGGGACACTGGGATGGACACTGGGATGGACACTGGGGACACTGGGATGGACACTGGGGTTACAGAGATGTGCCTACTGGAAGCACTGGTGAGGGACACTGGGGACACTGGGAGGGACACTGGAATGGACACTGGGGACACTGGGAGGGACACTGGGATGGACACTGGGGACACTGGGAGGGACACTGGGGTTACAGGGATGTGCCTTGTCCCCGTTCCATGTCCCTGTGATCCCCTCGTGTCCCTGTCACCGCTGTCTGTCCCTGTGTCCCCACGGCCTCGTGTCTGTGTGTCCCTTGTCACTCTTCTGTGTCCCTGTGTCCCCCCATGTCCTTGTGTCCTGCTCCTCTCCTGTCCCACTCTGGTGTCCCTCTGTGTTCCTGGTGTCCCCCGGTGTCCCGTGGTGTCCACTGATGTCCCCTCATGTCCCCCGGTGTCCCTCACATCCCCCGGTGTCCCCTGATGTCCCCTGATGTCCCGGATGTCCCCCGGTGTCCCTGATGTCCCCTCATGTCCCCTCATGTCCCCTCATGTCCCCGGTGTCCCCGGTGTCCCCGGATGTCCCCTCATGTCCCCGGATGTCCCCCGGTGTCCCTGATGTCCCCTCATGTCCCCTCATGTCCCCGGTGTCCCTGATGTCCCCTGATGTCCCCTGATGTCCCCGGTGTCCCCGGTGTCCCCGTGTCCCCAGGGAGGTGTTCATGGGGGAGGACCCGGCCCAGCCGCGCCGGTACAAGAAGAAGAAGAAGGAGACGCCGGGGGAGGGGCCCCCCGACTCGCCCACCAACGACGTGAGTGACCCCAAAAACCGGGGTACCCCAAAAACCCCGGTACCCCAAAAACCCGGGCACCCCAAAAACCCAGCACCCAAAAACCGGGGTACCCCAAAAACCCAGCACCCCAAAAACCCGGGTACCCCAAAAACACAGCACCCCAAAAACCCAGCACCCAAAAACCCGGGTACCCCAAAAACCCAGCACCCCAAAAACCCAGCACCCCAAAAACCCGGGTACCCCAAAAACCCAGGTACCCCAAACACAGCTACCCCAAAAACCCAGCACCCCAAAAACCCGGGTACCCCAAAAACCCAGGTACCCCAAACACAGCTACCCCAAAAACCCAGCACCCCAAAAACGCAGGTACCCCAAAAACCCAGCACACCAAACCCAGGTACCCCAAAAACCCGGGCACCCCAAACCCAGGTACCCCAAAAACCCGGGTACCCCAAAAACCCAGGTACCCCAAAAACCCAGCACCCCAAAAACCGGGGTGCCCCAAACACAGCTACCCCAAAAACCCAGGCATGCCAAAAACCCGGGTACCCCAAAAACCTGGCACCCCAAAAACCCGGGCACCCCAAAACCCAGGCGCCCCCAAAACCGAGCACCCCAAAAACTTGGTACTGGCAAAACTGGGCACCCTCGAACTTGGACACCCCAAAAACTGGGCACTGCAAAATCTGGGCACTCCAAACCTGGGCACCCCCAAACCTGGACATCCCCAAACCTGGACATCCCCAAACCTGGTTCTCCTGACACACCTGAGCCCTGTGACACCTCCACGTCCTCTCCAGCCCCGTGGGAGTTTTTGGGGTACCCTGAACACCTGAGTTCCCCCCCAAGCCTGGTTTCCCTGAGCCCCCTGACCCCTCCACCTCCTCCCCAGCCCCCTGGCAGTCTTTGGGGTGCCCTGAGTCCCCCGAACCTGGTTCCCCTGAGCCCTGTGACCTCTCTACCTCCTCCCCAGCCCCCTGGCAGTTTTTGGGGTGCCCTGAGTCCCCCCAGACCTGGTTCCCCTGAGCCCTGTGACCCCTCCAGCCCTCTGGCAGTTTTTGGGGTGCCCTGAGTCCCCCCAAACCTGGTTCCCCTGAGCCCCCTGACCCCTC